ACAGATGTCCTTGCGCTAGTAGGGATTGTAGACGGAGGACGGACGGACGTACCTGAGGATCGTGATGTAGTCATAGAACGAGCGTCTATACATGACTTATCTACGGGAAAGTCGAAACTTATCTGAGACTGCGCGCCTCTATATGTAATTGAAATTTACCTTCCGGTCGAGCGGAGCTGGATTATCTATGGGACGTGGCAAGAGAAGGTTGTTCCAGAGCATTCGAATTATCACCTTGTACAAGATTGCCAAAGCTGCTCGTCATCAAGCTGAGAGCACACCCAGACAAAAATCATTGACAATTTCAATGATGAGGGGGTTTCCCAACCCTGAGATAAGGGTGGTCCATCTGAAATTCATATGGCTCGGAAGGGCAGTCCCAGGAAAGATGCTGCAAAATATGACGGAGTGTTCGGTTGGGATTGCTACGCGCAGGAACGATTATCTGATCTAGTACCCCCGGAAGGCCATGCTCATTTCGCGGACCTTTGTGCAGTGCGAGTGACATCAAATCAGTTAGACTGTACTTTGACGGAGATGGGTCTGATGGCAACATGCGGATCGGAGGAGGAGGTGATCGGTGAATAAACTGGTTGATCGCTCCCCGTCCTCAAGGATTCTTGCATCAGTTTTATTTGCCACTGCGGCGTACTATGTAGATCAAGTAGGCCCCGTGCAGCCAATCGAAAAGGATCCTTACATGTCAGGATATATTGAATACGTCAAAAGTGAGATGGGAATTCGTGCTCAAAGAAAATCCACGCCTAATTGAATCTACACCTAAATTGGCAAATCCGACCTTTGAACTTTGTTACAGTTATTGCCAAGCAAATTTACTTGGGGTTGAGTCAACCTGGGAATCACAACTTTTATACATAAGCAACCAAGACCCCAAAATCAAGTACGTAACAACATCAATCCCAGGAGCACTTTCCCAATTTTCCCGCAATTCAGACGCACAGCACGAACTTCACGATCGCGACAACGGCAACCCCTACTCATCCACGAACGGCTCTCCGCCATGAGCGAACAAACAGTGTACCCAGCCACAAAGCTGGGTGAATACACAGTCATACAGGATATCGCCGAGGGGACCTTTGGCAAAGTCAAAAGTACATCTTACAATTTTGTTCGATCTTTGCGGTCGATCGACTAACGCATGTTCTGCAGTGGCTACCCACACCATAACAGGCCAGAAAGTCGCAATGAAGTACATATCCAAGGCAGTCATCCATATGACCAAGACCAAGACTCGTGTCCAGAGGGAAGTAGAGTACATGCGAACCCTGCGGCATCCACATATCATCAAGCTGTACGTCCTTCAAACAATTCTCACTGTCCCATCTTATGATTTTTTACAGCTACGAAGTGATCTCGACCCCTACAGATATCATCATCGTTCTCGAATATGCCGGTGGCGAGCTATTCAACTACATCGTAGCTAACGGACGAATGCCGGAGCCTCGAGCTCGGAGGTTTTTTCAGCAACTCATCTCTGGCATAGAGTACAGCCACAAGCTCAAAATCGTCCACCGAGATCTCAAGCCAGAGAACGTACTTCTTGATGATGATCTCAACGTCAAAATTGCGGACTTTGGGCTTTCCAACGAGATCAAGGATGGTGATTTCCTTAAGACGAGCTGTGGTAGTCCCAATTATGCCGCCCCAGAAGTGATCCGAGGAGGGCTTTACACCGGCCCAGAGATCGACGTTTGGAGCTGCGGAGTAATCCTATATGTCATGCTATGTGGAAGGCTGCCTTTCGAAGACGATGATGTTCAAACCCTCTTCACCAAAATTAGCCGTACGTCTTTTCCCTTCTACATGTAGCCTTCCGCCTGAGAATGTACGTACTGATGTCCTACAGAGGGTTCTTACCATATGCCGTCTTATCTTGGTGCTGATGCCCGCGGACTGATTAACCACATGCTCGCCATCGACCCTGTAAAACGTATAACCATCCCCGAAATAACGCAGCACCCATTCTTCAGGACTGACATTCCCCGCTACCTAACTCCTCTCCCTCCACCCCCTGGTCCTGTGCTGGGCACGCTATCGTCCCTTGTCACACAGCCCAAGGTACTCGACTTTGAGATTATTGACGGTCTGGGACGCATCGAGGAGGATGTAATCGACGAACTCGCAACCCGCATGGAAGGCGTGGACAAGGAAGATATTTGGGAGTGTCTAAGGCGGGATGACGGTGTTCAAGGGAACGCGGTCAAGGTGGCATACATGCTTCTACGGGACAAACGCCGTGCTGGCCGTGACTGTAGGTATCTTCATCATCTATATAGCTAGTGTTTACAGCACTGGTTGACTGATCACCTTCCAAGTGGCAGAGTTCGAGGAACAAGAACGAGATGCCCAGCTCGCAGCGATGGATGTGAGTACCGACACTCGTAGTCTCGCGCCTGTATTGATAATCCCCCAGCCCCGAAATGCGCTCTCACCCAATGCTCTCTCACCCTCGGGTGATCTTGAAGACAATCCCTTCGAAGCCGAATTTAACGCTGAATATGACAATGGCGAAGAAGACGACGACGAAATCGACGATGGACTTGATTTTTCCACTCCTCCGATAGATGGTGAATACGGTGAACGCGACCTCAACACATTTGCTGTGCTCAACTCTTCGCTGCCTCTCCCCGACCAGCTACCTGAACAGCACCATCTTGCATCATATGCAAATGCCAAACGCGCATGGCCTATTAAAGAAAAGAAGCAACACCGGACAAAGTGGCACTTCGGGATTCGCAGCAGAAGTCCGCCCATGGAAGTCATGCTGGAGATCTATCGAACGCTCAAGGCGCTCGGAATGGAGTGGAAGGAGAAGAGGAACTTGGGTGGTTTAGGAGGTGTTAAGTCCCGGCCAAGGAGCGGCACGGAAGGGAGTGCAAAGATTGAACGCGCGAGGGAGATGGATGGGTGCGATTCGGTAGATTTGCGTGTGGCTGCAAGCGTCTATTTTGTAGAGACCCGAGCCAGAGTCCAAGATGTTGTGGTACGCACACCTATATCTCCCGCTGAGAGTTATGATGCAGCTGATGCATTACCAGGTCCTCATGAATCTCCAGCTCTACATGGTAGACTCGATAAATTATCTCGTCGACTTCCATCACAAAAAGACATACAAGGCCTCCACCGAACCTGGCGCTGGAAGATTTGACATGGCCGATCCTGATACATATCTCCCTGACTCAAGTTCAGATGGACGTTCGATCAAGGACAAAGACCATCTCGCACTTAAGGAAGACGAGGTGGTTTCGCCTTTTGTATTTATGGATGTTGCATGTCGGTTGATTCTCGAACTCGCTGGCGGGGGAGAGTAAGAAATCCGTCCAAGTCATTGCGAGGCCATAACTTGGAATTGTCAATGTACCACGCTTAGTGCTATTTGCTTATTATCGATAGATGCTGTCTTTGTTGTTCTTTTGTTTCCCCCACTGTTACCCATCTAGCATGCTTGTACTCTTATGTCACTTGGTTTAGCGCGATCGCGAGGCGTGCAGCTGTATTCTATGATCCAACGGCCTCAAAAGTGCGGTAAATATTATCTGGGAGGTTGAGATCTAGCTTCAAAGATGTCTAGTCACCCCAAAATCAGACATGCAGACGATGTCACCTCGCTGCGATATCAAGTTGTCATTATGTTGTGTTCTGGTTTCAGAGGTCGAGGAAAGGAAAAAGTATTCGGATACGGGGAATCGAACCCCGAGCTGCCGCGTGACTCGTGAGAGGCGGCAATGTTGACCGTTACACCATATCCGATTGCTGATCATAATGATTGTGTTCGGTACTAATGAAAGCTGAGTGCGTTAAGCTTACCCCTGAAACGTTGCATACAATCGAACGAAGAGGAACTGAGTACTGAGCGCTGAGCTTTGAAACCAACATCACCCATTATATATGCCCCTGATCGTACTCGACGTCACCAACTCAAGAACCAAGTCTAGTGGACGTACTTGCTCCGCAATATCAATTGAAGAAATCTCTCTGGTCAAAAGGGCCAGATAACGGGGTAGTATTGAGAAACCCCAATGATGATCAACGTTACATGTTTTAGCAGCATCGCAGCGTGATAGACGATCTGTCAGAGTATGGGAAACCAGATCCGACGGGTATGACGATCCAGGTGCATGGCATATCCGTACCTGCGTTCTTGTTGCAACTGTACAGATTGTGCCTGGCACTATTACCTTCGTCGGTGATGAGGCACGGAATATGTTGAAGCGGAAGGTGAACTTACCGTGACAGCCAGGCCCGTCCGTCATTCAGCCACAGTACCAGAGTGACTTCCGTCGGCGAAAAGCAAGATTCAACTTCAGCGCTGCCAGTGCGTCTGAGGTATGTGCCGAGAGACTACGCAAAAGACATACCGAAAGAAAAGATATGTTCCACTTGCCATGTCAAGAAAACCAGAATAGTATTCCACGGTATCGCAACACTTGAGTTCCGTCGCGCGTAATCGATGATCTGGACGTCGTCTTGTAATTAAACGGCGTCAAGCGGCAGGGGGACAACCGATCAGAAATATCTTGCTTTCGCCCCGGCGTTGGTTTGGCTGCGGCGCTCAAGCGAACTTGTCGATGAAAAGTGAGGTTAGAACTCACAGGATGTATGTCTACCGTGGACGATATCGCCGCTATGCAGTCAGCGCTCAGCCTTTGGGAAACAATACGTCTGAGTTGAATATCGGAGACAAGTCACTTACAAGTCGACATTCCCATCACAAGCCTGAGACCCAAAAATCTGAAAGTGCCGCGTAGGAGAGCTTAGGAGAGCGGGTACCTACTTGAAGGAGTCTCGCCAACATTTTAAGCCGACAATCAAACCATGTACTCTTGCCTTCCTGACAATCGATCGAGCACATGGAGACAGTCCGCCGGTTTGAGCTAGCCCGCGTCAGTATCTCCTAGGATATTTTGTCAATCGAGGAAGGACGGTTTCTTCCTCCCTAGTATAAACCAGCGATTTGCTCACCTTAATATTATGATCGTGCCACAGCGTGCAATAAACAACGGGCATCAGTCAAGATAATAGGTCATTCCAAGGTCATCCACTACGGTATAGCAGGTACTACGTACAGGCGTACAATATATCACGAAGTCGTATTACAGGCCAGAAACAAGAAGGCCAAGCGCATAAATGTGTGAATCGCGTCGGAACAGCTCAGTCAATCCATTGAGGCTCCACCTTTAGTTTCGCCTTGGGCCAGTATTTTCCACCTGTGAGGTTATCCGCCTCCATGCGAATCTTGACACTCCTATGCATTTTGATGCCATGGTTTTGGCGCTGAATGTGCCGGCCACGCCCCATGTTTATCCTTCCATCAAAGTCAGCATCATAATAAATAAAGCACGAGATGACGCACGTGTACTCGTCAACCAAATTGTTGCTCTTGTCATCCTGGTAGTGAAGCATTTGTGGAACGGCCTCCAGAATCCACCAATAACGTGCAAGGCGGAGTTGGTCATATATCGGACAGGTAGCGTCAGCCAAGTCTTCAAGTTCCTCGCTCACGAATGCAGAACCGTCACTATAGACGATCATCGCAGGATCATCGGTGACAATTTGAGGCTTTGGAGTCAAACGGTCCTTGACCGTCAATTTCCCCGAGCCAGTAGATGGGGCATGCGGAGTTTGATATATTGGAGGAGGCCGAGGCTGCCTAGCTACGGATACAGGGTAGAGCATCTTGGGATCCATGCCAATTTTTGTGAACATGTTCCGGTGGAAGATGATGCCGATATCAAGCTTGAACAATTCTCGAACCATCCACCGAAGCGGTATGCGAGCTAAGCTATTGCGGGTACCATTCGGGACAGAACCTCCGCCGACGTCTGCTTTGTGATTAGAACCGCACTTTGCCAAACACAAGGTTCTTACCGCAATGACACCCAGCAAACCAAACCTCTTCGACGTCCGTCTCCCTGAAGGGCTCCGCGTCTTCAGTTGCAAACAATTGTTCCATTTGATCCTGAGACTCGTGATGGTGATGTGACTTCTTGGTTGCATCGCTGTCTGGGCTATTTCGACTGTGGAGTTCCTGCACTTTCGGGAGAAACTTCTTGAAGCTGCGAGGCATGTGTTCACGTTGAACACCACGCTTCTTGTGGTCCTCGGTCGCGCGTATCCAAAGACTCGGCTTGAAGCGCCTGCACATGGCAAATTAGATGGCGAGTCGTTGAAAAGAAATTTGAGACACATACACCCGATGTTCGTCAAGAGAAATTGCGTGACGGAAGTACTTGATACTATCGTTCGCCTTCGTAAATGGTAGTCGTTTAGGGATCAGTCCTACAGAGCTGACGGTATCCCTATTCACAAAATGGAGTTTAGATCATAGCTCATTCCAAACCAGCATCACGAACGTACCAAACACCAACAAATTCGATGTCCACGTTGATGGAGAAAGCCTTCTTGAATTTAGAGCTTAGTGCCCAACCTTCTTCGTCATCACGGCTGTACATATTGTAGGCAAAAGGAACCTGTTGATGATTGCAGCGGGGTAAAAGTCCGACTTTGTGGATCCTGCGATTATGATGTGTTGGAGCTATGACCGCCAACGATTTGGGAAAACTTACATTCCAGCAAGCGCGCGCGCCGTGTACGCGCCTCTTGAGAACCCAAATATGCATATCTTATCACCAGCGTCATCTGCAAGAGATGAAATTAGTCGCATCACGTGAGGATGCGCGTTCTAACTTTACAATTCTGCATGAGAAACTCGTATCCTCCTATTTGAGATTATTAACTGTTAACGTTCAGAAGATAGAAGGAGTTAAGTATGACTGACCCATCACATGAGCGTTGAGATGATTCCCAATCATCATGTCAACAGTCTTGGAAAGCTTGGCCATCGCGGGTGTAGCTATTTCCGGTATAGTGTACGTTCCTATACCGGCCTAGCCATAGGTAAGCCGAGTTCAGTCCAAATACTGTTTAATATTACCTGATAATAGACCATCTGCAAAGCGGGACTGTCCTTGACGAGCATGCTGAATAGCTGGATGATGTTTGAGTTCTGAATGGCCAGTCAGATCCGAAGGACACTCTAGAACAAACTGCAACATACATCTTCATCAAACTGTTCACAGAGGATGATCAGCCATTAAGCGCTATAAGAAAACGATGTGCGCTGACCTGGTCACCGGTTCCATCACTCAACAGGACAGTCAGTCAATGATGAAAGCGCTTTATCAAAAACAACGTACAAACACAACACCAGCGTTCTGTTGGTATGTGCAGGAGGTAGAATCTCGTCAGCAGGGTTCCATGTATCTTGCCCGCTGGAAATTGAAGAAGCATTTTGAGGATAGTCAGTGAACAGTGGAGCGGGTTGTGGCTTCCCCTGCAACGATGGCTGCATGTTTTGTTCCATAGGGAGGGATAAAATACAATCCGGATGGCGGCCTTGCCTGGTACCTATAATCCTGGTGGCTTTTTAAGAGCCGGAAGGGCGCAACATCAAAGCGTATATTCTTGGGTAAGAAAAGCTTCCGTGGATCCTTCCACGATGCGGCCCACACTGGTTCTCGCCTCTCTCCCGGACCGATTAACAACCGATTAATTGGACCCTGCCGCTAGTCTCCTCGATATTACCGGTCCCGAATAAGCGCAGACGCCTGACATCGCTGCTAGTGGTGGAGTGGTATCCATCACACATAAACGGCCGCTGGGGTAAACCTTGAACAGAAGTGCTACACCAGCGCGAGATGTCATCAAGATGTAAGGATGTAAAATGTTTGCAACAGTTATAATTCTCTCAGCGCTACTTCAGCGGCGTGCACGTGCACACAAGGTTCAAAGCTTTGCTTCCTAAAGAAGAAGTGCAGGCTTATAGCCGGTTTATTTCGAAATTAATACCTTGGAAGGAATTTCCTCCTGGTCTAGTAGAGAAAGCCGACTCCCGAGCTGGAGGCATTGACAATTCAAATTCTTTGGATCCGCTATGTAGACATTGCCAGGTATCCGAGGAAAGGGAGGTCGTGCTTAATCTATCAATGCGGTATCACATAGTCTCGCCAGCAGCAACGGCGAAGTACACTCTAGGACAGGAGGTTCGAAATGATTGTATCACGTTACAGAAGCGACGTGATACTATGAGACAAGTCAGGGTGTAAGCTTGCAAGTCTCGAGCTCTCCAGATCGATCGGAAATGCGGCGGTAACACGCACCCCATGCACCAAAGGCGTGCTCAGCTCCAGGTGTCAATTTTGCCAGCCCGCCATAAAATTGCTAACAGTAGCCCTGAACCTTTCCAGAATGTTTCTATAAAAGATAAGGTTCAGGAAGTGCACAATATATATGCAGCGTAACGTTTGGTGGCTTATGTCATTGTTTGGCTGGTGACTTGAGCTGCCAACTCAACGAACTCCAGATAAGTCATATTACCACATGATGAACGTTCGAACTGTCACTATCGAAATGGTTAGCTCGAGCGCTGCGCTATTTCAGTGGACGGCGCGTACGAAGATTGCAACGAAATCTTTCACATGGTATGATATGCTAGCATGCTCCGAGCTCGCCGTCTATTCAAACAGGTAGGCCAAGGCTTCTAGTGCGGCAGGCGGAGCGTCAGGACAATAGCCTCGATATCCTCCCTACGTCTCCCTATGTAGCGGTACTTGGACAAATATGTTGATCAAAACGTGCGCGCAATGACAGCTATCTTCTGATAGACCAAGTTTAAAAATGTACTAGCCATTTTTATATGTTATTGGAGCGACACTGCAAACTGAGGCGCATATAAGAGAAGGTATTGCAAAAGTCAGGTATTAAATTCAAAATACCTTCATGCTTTCACTTATTGCAACATCCTGTGCTGTAAGTAGACGAGCCTGAGGAGGTCCGCTTGCCAGAGGTCTTTGAACAACAGAACCACATGTGACTCGGAGTTGTGAGAGCCGATGCACTCGATTGATCGTTCGAGGGCTGTTACTTGTGTGCTTCCCAGCCTCTGGTATATATATATCGACTGTTTCCATGCATGATGATGGGGGTCAGCAGTCGTTGTACCCAAGTGATGATGACGTCCCGGGCGATCATGATGGCGTGTGCTCATCAATTGGTGACAGGTCAGCGGGTGCCGAGGGCTGTGTAAATGTTCAAAGTCCTGCTTAGTCATGTCAACGCAGACTCGCGCTCCTATCCTTGCTTTCTTTTTGCTATCATAGTAATGACTAGGACAACAGAGTTAAAGAATGGCGAGCAGAAGGAAAGGAAGAAACCTGGCAGAGTACCCACGTCTTGTGCAGAGTGCAGAAGGTGAGTCTTAATCTCGCTCAATTTAGACGACATGTTTGACAAACCCATTTGTGATCCATTACTCGTGTCCCTTGTTCATTCAGACTCAAACTTCGCTGTGATCGCAAGGTTCGTGGTTCTTTTCTGTTCAACATACTAGATACTAGATCATTGCTCACTCAATCGCCATGTAGGTTCCATGCGAGACCTGCGTAAAACGTGGCTGCTCCACAATATGTCCTAGTGGTTTGCTCTTTCTGTGATTTATAAGATCTTCCAAGCCTTAAATATATTCAGGATCATTGACAGCGGGAAAGGGCAATCGGTACGCGGTCCTTTTGTTTCCTATCTCACTGTTCTGATATCTGCACAGCCTTGTGCTCGCAAATACAGAGGAGTTACATAGCAAAATCGAAGTCATGTCAGCGCGAATGCGTGAACTCGAGGAAACCCTCCGCCAAATGCATTCTAAAGTATCCGATCTACCGCACCCGCTACTTTCAGATACCGATACAGTCATTTCAAACGATAGTCCGGAATCCAGCTCAAGCAGTGACTTTCCAGAACAACAGCCTCAAGCTTCGAATAAGGCTGATGCTGATTCTGTCATAGATGCATTTGGTGATGCTCATTGAAGTTTGTGGTTGATGCACGTAGCTAATTTTCGGTTATAGGCACGCTCACCATTGGCACTCGTGGAGAAACCATTTTCATGGGCGGCACCGCCCGTTCAGAAGTAAGTTCTACATTCAGAAGTAATGGATACCCGTTGAACATCTTGGTAGTATCTCATTCAGGTGGGGTTTGTCGTGACCGCTTTGCGACATTTGTGTGACGTTTTTTTAGCCACCTCTGAAACAACAACCAAAGCCTGCTTTTTCTGAAACCTTTCCCCGACTTTCGAAACAGATCCTCGATGCTTGGTTACCTGGTTCTGACTGTGTCCAGACTGATAATGGCCTCTGGGAACCTGTTTATTCATATCTACCTCCATTGTCAGAGGCGGTCCGCCTTAGTGAGATTTACCTTGAATGGGGTAAAGTCTTGTATGTTCATGCACTCGTGACAAAACGATGCCTAACCACTCCTGCCAGGTGGACTCCCCTGACACGATCGGAACTTTTCGATAATATCCTTCGAAGTGTTTATAATGCGAAGTAGGCTTATTCTGCTTATCCCATGTTATGCTCCTGAGAATATGTACCCAACAGATGCTACGAGGAAATACCGGGTTCTCATGATCTCTCGCTCCTGTTCAGCATATTCGCTCTAGCCACCCTCTTTGACTTTGAAAAGCCATCTTACGCCGTGGAGGCACAGGAATATCATATTCTATCGCACGTGTCGATGCACTTCACTTCCCCCTGCACGGAAACGAGTGTCCATACTCTTATCGCACTGGTCTGTTTCTTCTCTGAGTGAGAAATTAGCGCGCAGATGCTAAAAATTCACATTAGCTGCATATTGTGCAGTACCTGGAAATGAGTGACCTGCAGATGGATTCAAGCAGATCATACTTGTTCGTTGGGTTGGGTGTAAAACTTGGTTATAGGGTTCGTTTGTTCACTCCACGTATCACAAGTCTCTTATTCATTTTCCTAGATTGGCTTTCGTACGTCTTTCAGGCTACCCGCTCAATTTATCTGGGACTGATGGCATCTTCAAGATCTTTCTGGTGCTAGGTGGAAACTCAGCGACGCTGTTGTTCAAAAACGCAGCTCCGTCTTTTGGCAGATGTTCATGTTGGACACCTGGATTGTGCGCCATTTAAATTAGTGCTGTAACTTCTCACTCATGTCGTATATTTCAGAGTTTCCATGCTGGCCGCCCACCGAACGTCTCTCCCGATTGGATCGACACTCCTTACCCAAATGATGATTTCGCGGTAGTCAACGACAAAGGGGAAAAGGAGATGAGTGGTATGCGTTTCTTGTTATTGTACTTTACTGTCCTCACACATCTCCTTAGGACATATGTGGTCGTGGAAATTTTCGCGGCTCCTGCACCACGTAATGGTCAATGCATTTGGAGCCAAAACACCCACCTACCGCACAATCCTCGAACTCGATCGGAAAATCCGCGATTTCCCTGTCCCACCTCATCTCCAGCCCCGCTGTGCTACAAGTGAAACTCTCACAAAAGCCGCGATTCTCCAGCAAGTCCAGACGTCTTTTCTCCTCACAAACAAGGAAACCAGTGGGTATACGCTTCTATTCTCATCAGTCCGTGAAACTTATTTGCGGCATGTTTAGCGTTGTTAAATATCCATCGACGATACTTCACGCAAGCTTTGGAGGACCAGCCCGATGACCTCTTGAAGCATAAGTACGGCCCCTCGGTCATGGCGATGTATCGCTCTGCATGGCGAGTGATAGAAAGTCACTCGCATGCAGCTAGGAAGATTCCGCAAGTGATTGAACGATTAGGTTTGTTCTGGTCACAGGCACTATCCGCCGCCGTGAGTAGCCCTGATCAACTCATTAATTGAAGTGCATGACGATGTGTGTCATAGATCGTCATGTGCATGATCGTTAATCGTGCGCCTCAATCAAACATAGCGCCTCCTTCATTGCGCGAGCTTGATGTCGTTTATGAAGTATTCCAGAAGTCAGCGCCTACCTCAAAGCCTGCCGCTGTACTCCTCGTAAGCATTCTGTCTATGCATTCAACGCAGACCCCTCATCCCGTGTCCAGGACTCGATAACAAAAGTCTGGAAAAAAGGCCACGACGCTGTTGATCGCCCTCTTTATGACGATCAGTCCAGCTTATCCCGCGCCGAGCTCGATCGCCTTGGCGGCGGCAAAACTCATCTAATATCCCAAACGAGCCCTCGATCTAGCGCGTCGCCACCGTCTGTCCAACCTACACCATCAGAAGCCGAGTCAAGCGGCTCGTCCCAGTCATGCAGACAACCCACATGGGAAGGACAGAGCGTCGGGTTCGATATACACCCGCGCATCATGCAGGACATGCGCGTCTTTGACAAGTTCGAGCAATCACCGTTCACTGCGGGCGGCTCTTTTGACTCGCATGAGTCTTTCTTCCAGGCGATGAGCGATGTGCAGTTTAGTGGGTCGAGTGTGTATGGGGCAGAGATCTATAGTGGACAGCCGCAGGTGCTGAATACGTTTCATCCGGCACATTCATATAGCGCCCCGAATGGGATACAGGAGGTGCCAGTGCTGGATGCGGCGTGGCAGAGCTTTGTGGAGCAACTGGGGTTTTAATGATTGCTACCGTCAGTGTTAGATTTGAACTATGATACTTGCTCATCAATGATATTGCTCACCGTTTTCGACCCTTTCGCGATGCGCGCACTTTGTCAGTGAAAGTCGATTGTGCCGAGGCGTGACAGGACGTGACCAAATTGTGCAGATTAGAAGAGACCCTTCGTATAGAATTGACGCCGTATCATGATGTTACATTGATCTGCTCTTTGTTAAATGCTCCAAGGTTGGTGTGTAAAATCCTATTATCGCTCTTCCCCTGCCTCTTGTTCTCCTAAAACTACCTTAGTCCCATTAATAATTGACAAGCTCGTCCCTATGGAGTCAGGACAATCAGGGTCACAGGACCTTCCTGTAGCACGCATACTGTTCACACTGGCACAATGTCAAGAGCTTGATCAAGCCATACGCAACACAGTTTCTCCCACTATCCTGCAGATCATTCAAGACTCAGACCAGACCTCGAGTGGGCTCATAGCGCAGGATTATGCTGCAATCCTTGATTGCGTTATACGTGAGACCGAACATGCACTCAGACGCAACCACATGGAAAATGTGCTCAATAACAATATCTCCCTTGAGACAGTCCAACAACATCCTGAACTATGCAAGATAATCCGCAATGCCTGTCAGACCGGCTGTTTTTCCACCAATGTGACACCAGTAAGTGTCCGAGCCAAGTATATTGATGCGTTTCTGTTGACTGTTACTGGCAATGCAGAGATATTGCACCTACCCAATACTAGCTCACCCGTGTTGGCCGACTCGGGGTTTACTTGAGGTCGGATTTATCCTGTGGGATCATCCACAGTTTTATTTCATGTTATTCTAGAATAGGGGTAGGTGTTGCTGACAAATGTGGAGCGCTTCCTTTTCCTCTTACATAATTTTCTGCATCTTCAAATCCTATGCAACATCATTTATCGTTTATCCTTCAAATCGTACATCATGATAGTTATAAGTAGTGACAATGATAGCTATTCAACATCAAACACTATCGCTGTGGCGCATTTCTTTCATGCCTTATCTAAGTTGAGTTGTGTTCACTTCCATGAAAAGTTTACTACTCCAACTCGAATATCAAGCACGACGCACTCAAATCTCAGAGCTTCCATCCTGTAAATATTCGTTTCATTGGGTTTCAGCGCTAGCGCTCGGCACGTGTGGGAACATAGCTGTACAGCGAACATGTGTAGGTCACAGCTTCACTGATTCCACGAACGATGAACAAGGACTAGAAGTGCTGCATATAAATATCCGCCTGATGGATGACCAGTACCATTCAGGATCTTGATGATCAGTTTTAGGTTCTGTTAGAACTACAAGATACATGAGACTGGACACGGGACTGCGAATGTGCCAGCGTACATCCCCAGAACATCCTCATCTCCGCCATGGCTATTGGCAAAGGCATGTCGCTCGATAGTGCTGCATTAATGTCAACAGTACTCGAAGGCATTTTATACGGTCAATTATATAATGAATGTGTTTGTCCATCCCATACTCACGTTCTTCAGGCTTTTCTGTCCTCATGTTTATTGGCACCATCTGGGCGCTGACCGGGACCCATGAACGCCACATGCGGAGCGTCAATCGTCCGATCACAGCTGTGGCCGTCTTGCTGTTTGTACTAAGCACTGCGGTTAGCTTCTCGCCTTACTATCTGATGTCACACGCTGAAGTCCTCCAAGCACATGGTCGTAGACATTATTTGGACTGAAGAAGGACTAGTGCAGCGCCACAACATATTACAAAGCGGGCCGGAGGCGTTCTTCACAGAAATCTCTCAAGAAACTATTGTGATACACAATGCAATATACGTTTTGCAAACTCTACTCGGTGACGGGGTGGTGGTGGGTTTCAATCATATATTTGCCATTCTGAAATTGATATAGAAGTGTGTTTTTTGGAAAAAGATTTATCGTTGTTACATTGTTTGGCGAAGCATCTGGATCATCATCTTACCCAGCATGATGTGGTGTAGTGTCGCAGGTAAGGTTTCAAATACACATAACAAGTCGCGTGCTCTGATGTTTTGAAGTGACCGGTGTGTGCTCGATCTACAAATTTTGGCACGCATCTATGATATCCGGAAATGTCTTCGGCCTGCCAGTGCTGGTGATTCGCGATTGGATCTCGGCGTTCTATGCCTTGACACTTGCGACTAATTTGTTGAGCTCAGGTGAGCGCGCTTCTGCTCGTGCGTAGTGTCATATCCTCATACCAATCTGAATCTGTTTAGGATTACTGGCGTACCGCATCTGGAAAATCGAACATAATGTTGCTAGCAGTCGCACTACGAAGATCACCACGACGAGTATACTACGCGTGGTTATGGATGCTGCTATTTTATACTCCATAGCGCTCCTCTGCACATTAATCGGTGTGGTCTGCTCGAACAATGGATCGCTCGTTATGATAGACATGGTGATTCCACTGATAAATATATCATCGAAGAGTACTGACCTTTGTTCAACCAGCTTACGTCGATCATCTCCATCACATTCTATATGGTGATCATACGCATTGCGATGGGTAAAAGTACTCACAGTCTTTCAACTGTCCGTCACGGGTCGGGCAGTGACACAGATGGAGGAAACTTACAGCATTATGCCCTGCCTTTGCAGGTGCATATATCCCATTTCACCCATAGTGATGGCGCGTCGGTGTACAGAAATGGGAATCTGGACCGACCATCGACAGGCAAGTCAAGAGTTGTGGAAGGGGCGTCTTGCAATGTGTAGTCAGATGAACATGCTAGCTTCATACAGAAGTTGATTGTATTTGTCTTGGAACACGATAACTTGTATGTATACTGCATCAGCAATCAATTATTTACTTCGTTGGATGTGGAGAACAGAACTAGACTACAATTTCAACTTACTGTGGGCAATTGAAATCTGCCTTGCTAAAGTCTGAGGATGGCTGTCGTGATTCGGTACTTGGTGAAGAGTAGAAGGAATATAATCTCTATCGCGTATCTAGTCGTTGTGCCATCATAGGAGTAGTTCAAATGAGCATGCGGCACGAGATATGCAAATAATCCACGTGTTGCTAGCAGTTTTCATAAATAGATGACTACATAGTAGTATCTGATTTGTACAAACAGTAAGCAGGACACGGACACGAAACTATTTGGCTAAAACCTGCAGCCATCCTTTTGACCCGAAACACTAGCACGGTTTCGAATGCAGAAAAGTCCGGGATCCGTGAAGCTTTGAAGGCTGGTAAGCCATAGTAGATTCATGGGGCAGAATTTGCGAGACATTATGCTGCCAAAAGTGATGTGACTTACAAGTAGAGTGTAACGGCCCGAAAGAGATCAGTGGTCACCGAGTAAAAGGAGTCGTCGAAATGGGACGCATGCTGTGAAAAGGACAGTTAGCGGTGCACAACAAAAACGGGAGCTCGAGTTGACCAGTAAAAATGCGAACGGGGCCTGTAGTGATGTGACAATAACGAATGAGGTACGAAAAGCTGTGTCGGTGCGTTCTACATTCGTTCTTATCATGATGGTGCGAATCTATGTAGAATATGATGCAAGGATCATACTAAGGTTATAAGTGTCCTCGAGCTTCACGACTTCAGATTGATGCGATGACTCACCAGATCTCTCCTTCAAAATATGCATCGTGCATCGGGATTTTGTCAATGCCAGTGAATCAATATCATGTTTCAGCCTGACACATTCAGGGCTATGGTTGATGGAGGAGACAGAGAGAGATAATTCTGTATCCATAAACATACATGCACACACCACAATATTTGTGTCGAGACTTACTACAAGCGACCAACTGAAACACTGAGCTCATCCGAATAGACTAAAGTGGCCAAGCAGAATCACGAAGAACATGATTTGATGTCAGGAATATTGCGAGGGCGTGTAAAATGACTCGGAAGACTGGCATCCTTGCCAGTACATATGGTAACCTCGGAGCTCGAGGTAACTAGCAAGGAACGTCGACGATGTATATCAAAATCTAAACGGTCGTGTCTTGATCATGATTATGTAACCCTCTTCCACTAAAGTGGAGTCGGGGACTTAATATTCGAAGTTGAGAAGCTTATTGTGTACCTTCTAGATCTTCGAATCAGCATCACATGTCGATTTGATATCATTCAGCACGTAGATTTGATGCAGACTAGATGTTTTCCAGATATGAATACCAAACACTATCATCCTCATGGCACGGTTCCCGGTCTCTTCCATACCTTGCAAATCGAGTCCAACGCCAGTGGTCATCTCAGGCTCGATGAAGAGTCGCCAATACTACTAGCTACATCGAAATTTCAATCACGAAGCTTGTAAATTCCTGTAAGCAATCATTCTGTTTCCAAGCACGTATTAGAAGCAACGTTCGAATTAAAGTTGCATAGCAAACACGTTCAGATCACAGCTTCACCCGTTCCGCAACTGATAAGTAAGGTCCGAAGCGCTCAATATAAATATCTGCCAGATACCCGCTGATTCAATGGACATAGAACTGCAAATTTGCTATCATATATCCCCAAGGCATCATCTCCGCTATGGCTATTGGAAAAGGCATCCCACTCGATAGCGTTGCATTAATGTCAACAGTCTTGGAAGGCATTTTATATGGTCAGTATACGAATGTGCTCCTCCATCCCATACTCACCAAGATAGCGTTCTTCAGGCTTTTCCGTCCTCATGTTTATTGGCACCATCTGGGCGCTGACCCACAAACGTCACATGCGGGACGTCAATCGTCCAATCGCGGCTGTAGCCGTCTTGCTGTTTGTACTGAGCACTGTGGTCAGCTTCTTGCCTGGTACATCTGATGTCACATGCTGAAGTCCTCCAAGCACATGGTTGTAAGTATTATTCGGATTGAAGAAGGACTGGTGCAGTATCGCGACAGGCCAAAGACGTTATTCACAGAACTCTCTCGAGGAACCTTTATGACCAATGGCGCGATATTTATTTTGCAAACCCTACTGGGTGATGGGGTGGTGGTGGGTTCAATCGTATATTTTCCATTTCGAAATTGATATAGAAACGCTTTTTGAATAAAGATTTATCGTTGTTACATCGTTTGGCAAACCATCTGGGTTATCATCTTACCCAGCATGCTGTGGTGCAGTGTTGCAGGTTAGGTTTCAAATACACACAGGAAGTTGCATGCTCTGATGTCGTTTCGAAGTGACTGGTGTGTACTCGATATACAGCTTTTCGCACATGGCTGGCATCTACGGACACGTTTTCAGCCAAACGACTCGCGAATGGATCTCGGTATTTTATGCCTCGACGCTTGCAACTAATTTATTGAGTTCAGGTAAGCGCGCTTCTGCTTGTGCTTGTCATACTCTCATACCAACTTGAATTTGTTCAGGATTACTGGCGTACCGCATCTGGAAAATCGAGCGCGATGTCGCTAACAGTTGCGCTACAAAGATCACCACAACGGGTATACTACGCGTGGTTATGGATGCTGCTGGTTTGTACTCCATAGCGCTCCTCTGCACATTAATCGGTGTGGCCTGCTCGAAAGATGGAACACTTTTTATGTTAGACATGGTGATTCCACCAATAATGGATACCTATCATCGAAAATCCCTGACCTTTGATCAAACAGCTCACGCCTGTCATCTCTATAACTTTTTACATGGTTATCATTCGAATCGCAATGGGCAAAAATACTCACAGTCACATTTTGACTGTTGGTCACGGGTCGACCACAGGCAGTGAGAACGATAGAGGAAACTTGCGGCATTATCCTCTGAAGCCTTTGCAGGTACACATATCGCAATTCACTCACAATGACAGCGCGACGGTGTATAGAAATGGGAATCTGTACCGACCGTCGACAGCCAAATCGGAATTTGTGGAAGGGGCATCTTGCGACGTGTAGTCAGATGAACATATGACTTCATATGAAAATTAATTGTATTTTTGATAGCACCAGGCGATAACTCGTAGTACGATCTCTTGAATCACATTGTATATGTACCGCGTCAGAACCAGACTACAAACTCGAATTCTGTGGCGAATTGAAGCGATTGAAATCAGATTAGATGCGTTAGAGAATGCAATACGATGCATAGGCTGGTATTGTGGGGGATGCTCTATACTCAGAGTGAATGCTTTCCAGTATCGGTCTCGATCTGCCCTGCTGAGGATGGCTGTCGTAATTCGGCATTCAAGGAAGAAGGGGTAGAAGGAACATAGCCTACATCAGGTATCCCGAGTCGTCGCCTTTGATGGTAGCACCCGTTGCAGCATTCGGCTGTAATTGGATGCATGAGACCTGCCAGTGAAATGGACGTCGAATGAAGCGAGGAGCTAAAAAGACTCAAAGGCCCACAGCTTGATCATGATGGCGTTGTCGATTGAACCGTTGGCGAGAAGTATGCGGTCAGAAGAGAGTACTAGACCACGGAGCCACGGACGATATGAGTGTTCTTCGAAGGGCGCTCCGACGGTTGGGTCGCGCGTGACCCTGAAAGGTCATGACCAAGACCTGTGTCAGGATCGACGTGTTTTCTGCTGCACCGTGCTAGGTTGAGCTGTAAGCCATGTCATTATCTGTCTACAAGAATAAGCCAGTGATATCAGTTCGTCAGTGCAGAACACTTATATCTCAGATGTGGTATTCGTGTGATGACTCACCCTGAGAATGCTAGTCTAGACGAAGGGCAATACCGTCGATATGTGTGATGAGCGCATCTTACCTCCTTATCTTTTGACGCCCATCCTCAAGACTTTGCATTGCGTGTACAGCATGTTCCGTCCCTTTCTGGCTTGTGATGAAATCCCTGTATTGCGCCAGCCTTGACGATAGATTAGCGCTGGTGTTTCAAACTCTGCGTAAGGATTTCTACCTTCGATGTTCGAGTGTATACAAGCAAATATCCGAGTCCTCTCGCCCTTTAAGGAGTGATCACTGTTCGTAAACTAAGCCACCAGCAAACGAAAATACACTGTGATATGCCTTACATCTTGTAAAGATACACTATGCATACAAGTAGATTCTAATTAGCAAGGTGTCTGCGATGAACTCGTCACAGTACCGTTCGAAAAGTCAATCTAAAAGCAAGAACACAGCCGGCTGCTTCCATGTTCTCCTGCATTAGTCCTGACCTGCCCTGCTGTGATCGTCTGTTGCGAATCTGGATTGGGCGAAGGAGGGGAAACATGGTCTTCATCAGGTATCCATTCATCATCTTTGCGGCGTGTAGCACCTGCAGCAATATTCCGCTGTAAATTAATATATGAGCACTGAAAAGGGAGAAAAATGGGAAATGGGCCACACATACCTCTTTACCCTGCGCGAGAGGAACGTCGACAATAGCTGGCGATACATGATCTGTTTGAAGGGGCCGCCAGGTTGACAGGCGGTGTAGGCAGGATTTGAAGGTCGTGGAAGTAGGGGCAGCGGATTGGGTGGTCGGTGGCCGAAACTAGAAAATGTCAGTCAAATATGTGATGATGGGGGTCCCCACTCACATTATCATCATGTGGATTCACAATTGATCGAGGCAAGGGCGCTGTAGCAGGGAACTGCAAGGGGACCGTCGAGTCAACTGTGAAGAAGATAGATAAAACAAACATACGTCCAGGGGATTACGGGGCTCCTTGGTGCGAGTGAGAATGGTGTCCGTACGAGAAGAAAGAAGTTTGCGTAAAAAACCAAAGAAATTGGGTTGCCGGGGTTCAATTGTAACTGCTAGCGGGCGGGTGACGGAAGGTATGACTGCTATTGCTGGTTTACGGCGCACGGGACGACGTGTTGCGTCAGACTACGACAGAGAATGGAGTGATTTAGATGAGTAAAATACCGGGACCACATACATCAAGCAGTTTAGCGAGGTGAGCGCTTGTCTGCAAGAGATTTCAGCACGCGAATCATGAATGGGTGAATACACACCTCTCTTGCAAGACCAATACTAGCAAGAATATCGGCTGGAATATCGCATATGTAGATTCTGGCCTCATCCCGGTTCGTGTAAGCCAGTTGGTGTGAGTCAGGTGACAGTATAAGGGAATATGGACTTTGGACGTCGAACGAGGCGAGGAGTTGGCGGGACTCGAAGGACCATAGCTTGATGGTGTTGTCATCGGAAGCACTGGCGAGAAGCACACAATCAAATGAGAGAGCTAGACTCCTGATGACGTCGGTGTGCCCTTGGAAGGAATCTCCGACAGTCTTGAGCGTCGACGCGTCATACTCATGAATTCGGCCCACGGAGTGATGAATTTATCTTTTGTTGTGCAAAACACCGGTAAACATAACCAGCTTCTAGTCGTAGATCTTTCTCTAGTGACAGCCAATTTCTGTAATTGGACGTCCCACACCTCAAGGTATTGCTTGGACTCCGGATCCGATGATGTCACCGCCAGCTTCCGAGAGTCTTGAGAGAGTCCAAGTGCATCCACGAATTTACCACTAAATCTGAATGGACCAGCCATGAGTTTGCCTGTGTCCAAGCTCCATATCCGTATTCCATCGAGTGATGCACCCGCTAGCAACATGCTGTCCGCCGAAATATCAATGCATCTGATCACGAGGTCATCATGAAATGTTCTCACGATCCCCGTCTCGACCTCACACACTTTGAGCACCCCAGTGACCCCACCAACTGCAGTGATAACCCATTGACCATCCCTTGACACCCCCACTCCATATATATAATCCTCGCAGACTTCCCGAGCTTCCTCGATCTCCTTACCCTCCCGCAGGTCCCATCGCCGAATCGTCTTATCGTATGATCCGCTGATTATTTGCTTGCCGCTGTCGGGAAAATAGGAAATGTATGGAATGTATTTGAACTCGTGTTCGGATCCGGGCACTAAATATGGTTGATGTCCCTCCAAGGTCATCACCGGTGTCAGAACTGATTTCTTTGCTGCTATACCGGGCTGTTTCGAGCTGGAAGCCATGGCGGCTCTATCCTATGGATAGTGTTCGGTGAGTTGTTCTCGTATGCGCTACGTTGCCAAGTCTTGAGAGTCGCTGTGCTTTCCCTGTTTATGCTAATCGTCAGTTTATCAGCGTAGGATGCTCATGTAGGGTATTCACGTTACACGAATGTTGTCAAGTTCGAGGAACGATATCGTAATTGATGGGCTTGCTATCTTTCATGGCTGTGCGTTGTACGGCATGTTCTTTTTTTGACCATCGCCATCAAACTTCATCTCTCCACTGCAATACAGCATTGCGAGCGGGGTGGAAATCTGATCATTCTGTCACCCTCAAACGGGGACAACTACTTACTTCGAACCTTCGGTTCAATTCATTAATTGCAGTGGCTGGGTCAGTCGCAACAAGGGTGGACCATGAGTTCATCGTTCCCACCTCAGATGATGCCATCCTCCGATTGCAGGTAATACAATACACTTTACATTACATTCACGAACAAACTTTGACACATCAAGCATCTATGGAGCCAATCTTCACCATCACCTGCATGAAACCGCATCAGAACGCAAAACATCAGGTCAAGAACTCACATTGACACGGAACCGCTTACCATCACCACCAAACTGAAAATCACGTCCTCTGCTTCCTCCATTTCAGAATCGTCCGTGTCTTCGTCTACTGCAAGATATCCTCTTCCTCTTCGCGTGTTTCGACCAGCGGGGGCAGACTAGCTTCCTCGGCGATAATGGTAGAAGGCGCATCAGGAACTACATCTTCCCCTATGTCATCATTATCACCAAACTCGCCCAGGAAGATGGTCACTCTCCCACTCTAAGCCAACAGTCAACACAGTTTGAACAGGTGCACGAACCTGATTCGGCGTATGCTGAGGTTGATGTTAAGGCGATAGCACAATCTGAATTAGGTACCGGAAGATACCCATGATCTATGTGTTTGCTGCTGCACCGCGCTGGGTCGAGCTGGAAGCCACATGAGTTGCGTTCGCCAAACACTGGCAGTTTCAAGTTGGCAGGTATGTTGGTTGGTTACGTGGAGGTCGATATGGTCATGGTCGCGGTTATGTTCGAGTGAATGGATGTTGAATGAAATTCAAATCGAACTCGTTCGACGAGAGACGACGCGCTCTGCCTGCAAGATAAGTTAATGATATCAGTTTGTCAGTGCAGAACGCTCAGATCTTAGATGTGGTGTTCGTGTGGCGACTTACACCTTGAGAACGCTAGTAAAGCCGAAGAGCAATATATTATAGGCGGGTTTTGCCTCCATTTCCTTTGACGCCCTTAAGACTGTGTTGCATGGCCATCCCTTTCGCGCTCGTCGATAAAATTCACGGATAGCCTTGCAGGTTGGTTAGCGCTGAGGTTTCGAACTACCTTCGAAGTCCCAGTGTTATCCGAGTCGCTGCCCTGATCACCATTCGCAAACTAAATCATTGGCAAACGAAAATGCACTGTAATATGCCTCACATGTCATGAAAATACACTATGCGTACAAGCAGGTTCTAATTAGCGAGGGGTCCGCAATGAACTCGTCACAGCACTGTTCGAAAAGTCAATCTAAAAGCAAAAACACAGCTGGCTGCCTCCATGTTCTCCTGCATTGGTTCTGACCTGCCCTGCTGTGATCGGCTGTTGCGAATCTGGATTGGGCGAAGGAGGGGGAGAAACATGGTCTTCATCGGGTATCCATTCATCATTTTTGCGGCGTGGAGCACCTGCGGCAGCGTTCCGCTGTAAATTGATATATGAGCACTGAAAAGCGAGAAAAATGGGCTGCGTATACCTCTTTACCCTGTGCGAGAGGAACATTGACAATAGCTGACGATGCATGATCTGTTTGAAGTGACCACCAGGTTGACAGGCGGTATTTGAAGGTTGTGGGAGTAGGGGTAGAGGATTGGGTGGTTGTTAGCCGATACTAGAAAATGTCAGTCGAATATGTGATGGTGGTGGTCCCTACTCACATTATCATCATTGGGTTTTACAATTGGACGAGGCAAGGGTGCTGTAGCAGGGAACTGCAAGGGGACTGTCGGATCAACTGTGAAGATAAATGAGAGACATACGTCCAGGGGATTGCGGGGTTCATTGGTGCGAATAGGACGAGCCATATCGGTACGAAAAGGAAGGAGTTTGCATAAAAATCTAAGGATAACGGGTTGCCGGGGTTCAATTGTAACTGCTAGCGGGCAGGGGACGGAAGGTATGACTGATATTGGTGGTTTACGGCGCACGGGATGACGTGTCGCGCCAGACTGCGATAGAGAATGGAGTGATTAGATGAATGATTAGATGAGTAGAGACCAGGACTACATACGTCAAGCAGTTTAGTGAGGTGAGCGCTTGTCTGCAAGAGATTTCAGCACGCGAATCATGAATGGATGAATACACACATCTTTTGCAAGACCAATACTAGTAAGAACATTGGCTGGAATATTGCATATGTAGATCCTGGCCTCATCCCGATTCGTGTAAGCCAGTTGGTGTGAGTCAGGTGAGAGTATGAGGACAAAGGGAGCTTGGACATCAAATGAGGCGAGAAGTTGGCGGGACCCGAAGGACCAGAGCTTGATGGTGTTGTCGAAGGAAGCACTGGCGAGAAGAAGACGATCAAATGAGAGTGCTAGACTCTTGATGACGCCGGTGTGCCCTTGGAAGGAATCTTCGACAGTCTCGAACGTCGACACGTCACGCTCATGAATTGTCGTCATATCGTCATCCGATGTGAATGTGGTCATGATGAGTTTGTCTTTTGTTGTCCAGAGTACTGGTGTACGTATCCAGGTGAAGTTATCTATACATTTGTTTCGAACAACAACCGATTTCTGTGTCTGGACGTCCCACACCTGAAGGCATGACTCCTTTGCGCGGGTCCGCCAACGCCAAGATGTCACTGCCAGCTTCCGGGAGTCTTCCGAGAGTTGAACTGACATTATTGAGCCAAAAATTCGGAATGGACCAGCCACTAGTTTGCCTGTGTCCAAGCTCCATATCATACATGTCCTATCGTCTGACCCACCCGCTAGAAATGTGTTGTCCGCCGAGAGATCAATGCAGTTGATCACAAGGCCATCATGAAATGTTCTCACGATCCCCGTCTCGACCTCACACACATTGAGCTTCTCACTAACTGCAGTGACAACCCATCGACCATCCCTTGACACCCCTACTTGATGTACAAGATCCTTGTAAACTTCCCGAGCTTCCTTGATCTCCTTACCCTCCCGCAGGTCCCATCGCTGTATGACATTATCGTTTGATCCGCCGATCATTTGCTTGCTGCCGGGAAAATAGGAAATGTGTGAAATGTATTTGGGCTTGTAATCGAGCGAGAACGAAAATTGTGTATGTCCCTTCAAGGTCATCACCGGTGTCAGAATCGATGTGTTTGCTGCTATACCGGGCTGTTTCGAGCTGGAAGCCATGGCGGTTGTATCCTATGGATAGTGTTCGGTGAGTTGTCCTCGTATGCGCTACGGTACCAAGTCTCGAGAGCCGTTGTGCTTTCCCTGTTTATGCTAATCGTCAGTTCATCAGCGCAGGATGCTCATGTAGGGAATTCACGTTACGCGGATGCTATCAAGGACGAGGAACGATACCGGCATACTATCTTTGATATATCCCCTTCATGGCTGTGCGCTGCACAGCATGTTCTCTTTTTGACCATCAAACTACCTATCTTTCCACAGCAATGTCAGAATGAGATATGGGTAGAGGGTGCCCGGGTACCCGCCCAGGTGGAACCCGCGGATAACGTGCGGGTCGGGTGCTACGGGTTGGCTTGGATGTATTACCCGGGCGGGTACGGGCATCAACATCCAAATTTCGGGTTACCCGCAGGTCACCACTAGTACGCTAATTGGAGACTTATGCACCAACTGCTGTCGACTCAGTCATTGAGTCGTCTGCCGGCGGTGTGTACAACAGTGTTTCTTTTTGGTTCTAGGATCAATCGTAATACTATTTCGCAGAGAAAACGCTCGAAATATGACGTCAATAGCTCTGATGATGAGTCTTTGCACAATCTGGACTTGCTCAAATCTTATCTCAATTCTCTGCGTGTCTCCAGGCCTGAAATTATCAGTATCAGCGGAGTTCTGAAATATTGGGAGAATGCTCGTGTTACGAGACCCCGTCTGGCTCAAATGGCATTGGACTTCTTATCTGCTTCAGGTGGATGTTTATGTTTTGATATCTTCTGACTGCAGCAGGAACTAGCACCTTCTGTATAGGCTATAGTTAATGGGTACCTAGTAGATACATCATGTACCCGCGGGTGACCCGCACACCCGCAGGTACAACCCGTGGGTCGACCCGTACCCGTACCACTTGACCTGGGACGGGTACGGGCATGACTTTATTTCTCAATTTACCCGCGGGTAGCACCCGGGTATGACCCGAGTCGGCCCATGTCAGGCCCTAGTCAGAATACAGCATTGCGAGCGGGGTAGAAATCTGATCATTCTGTCACCCTCAAACGGGGACAAAGAAATCTAATTCGCTCATTACAGTGGCTGGGCCAGTCGCAATAAGGGCGGACCATGGGTTCATCATACCCGCCCCAGATTATTCCATTCTCCAATTGTAATACACCTTACATCCTGTAAAAATACATTCACGAACTAATTTGACGCATCAAACATGTATGTAGTGCACCATACTCGAGCTAATAGGAAGGAACCAATCATTCACGATCACCTGCATGAAACCTGCATCAGAGGTAAAATGTCAGATCAAGAACTCGCAATGACACGATAACCACTTACCATCACCACCGAACTGAAGATCGTCAATTGTCTCATCCTCCGCTTCCTCCATCTCAGAATCATCCGTGTCCTCGTCCACTACGAGATCCCCTCCATCAATCTCGACCTCTTCCTCTTCGTACGTTTCGACCAGCGGGGGCGGACCAGCTTCCTCGACGATAGTGGGAGAAGGCGGATCAGGAACTACATCTTCCCCTGTCTCATCATCATCGCTAGACTCAATGGGGTCAAGCCCAGGAAGGTGATCACCCTGCCCCTCCAATCCAACAGCCGACACTATTTGAATGGGTGCATGAACCTGATTCGTATGCTGAGGTTGAGGTTGAGGTTGAGGCGGCGGCATAATCTGAATAGGCACCGGAAGATGCCCATGATGCGGAGGCGGGATCACCATCATGCGCCGTGCCGGCTGAGAAGGTCTGCTTTGCTCTAAGGACGGGTACCAGTTGAAGAAGAGGCCGGTATCTGTCATTTGCAGACATGATATGGAGGATAGGTATCGGTTGTCGTCGTATTTTGCTATGCGGCAGACGGATAGGCCAGGGCGGCGAGGGGCCTCCGCAGTTAACTTGCTGATTTCAGGGTCTAGAGATACGATAAACAAACCCTTGCGCTGCGATAGGTTTAGCGCTGAGAAGCCCATGTGTAGAAAGGAGACTTACAGTTGCGATTGCGGCCTTTTCATTTGATTCTCCGAGGGCTAGATAGACAGAGGTATCTCGGACGTCGCTTCTGGAGGCGCTGAAATTGAGGAATGTTGCTATATCGCTAAGAGTGACCTCGCGATGGAAGAGTCGTTCAAAGCCCGGAATCCAAATGAAGATCCCTGATGCGGTGAGGACTGCGATGTCCTTGCCCGAGGTGGATACATGGGCTGCGCACATAATGAGTATATGATATAGATCGACGTATAGACCTTACCCGCAACAAATGTGCTCGGAGATGTGGAAGAAACGTGATATGCCTCGTGAAGTCGTTGGGGCTGAAAGAGCGACGAAGGGCACGGGTCATCGCTATTATCTGGAAGCACATCCCAGTTGATGCGCTGCAAATCTTTCATGCACAGGTGATAGACCAAGGCCCCACCGCCCCTTGCAAAAATGCGTAGTTGATTGGACCCGCAGAAGAAAGCGTATTGGTCATTGACTTCAACGTAGCAGAGGGTCCCTAGGGTCCCATCTTGATTGGGCGCCTGAATGTTGCTAATCGTTTCAACAAGACGGGAAGTCGGCACGTCCCACAGATAAGCGTAATTTGCGCCGGCCGAAAGCAGCGTTGGGTACGAAAAACGGAATGCACGGGTGGGCTCTGGCATGTGAAGGTGAGCCCACGGTCTGAAATGGCCATGATTTGTTGGGGAGGCATGACGCTGAGCAGCTTCGTGCGATGCATTGATCATGGACTCGTCAGGCTTGAAGACCTCTGGGATTTCAGAGTCTTGGAAGTCACGGGCGTAGCGCCATACTTCCTTGCTATCATCGTGACGGTTGAGGATGATGTAGCCATGGTCATATTCGCAGTGAGCATAATCGGTTACGTGAGTCTGTTTTGTCGGAATGGTTCAGGACGAGGTGGATGCGCATGTCAGACGACTTACTGCTGCCCAAAGTACGCAATCGGTATCGTAATCAGTCACGGAGAGGCCTCCATGGTGGCGGGTAGTCATCACGAATTTCTTCTTCTGGTCAACCTTTATTCGATGTACGAATTTGCCGGTGGAATTGAGCTCTCTCGCGATGGACGGAGCCTTGCCTCGCCAACCCCTCTCGATCTGCAATCGTCTTTGACCTAGCAGAGATGGTCAAAAGGTATCAGCTGCACTTGGAGAAGCACAGACAGAGTTGAAACCAGTCTATTTTCTTTGTATCTGGTTTTTGACCAGAGGAATCAGCCTGAAGATCGGTGTGGGGGACGAAGCGATGTAGGATGGCTGCTTTGCGATAAACTGCCTGGACATTTGCTGTGATCAGACCGTGCCATGCTCTGGACACGAGCGAGATATTGCGAAGAGATTGTAATGGGAGATAGGATGCTATGTAGAGAGCGATCTCTGTAGGCAGTTCGTGCAGCATCGTTGATCAAGACCAAGTTTCCAATACTCGCGGAGTTGTAAAATCCTTTCGACGAGCCTACTTCCACAAGTCTGGACATGCTCAGCCCAGGCCCCAAACTCAGCCGATCAACTCGAGCGATATTCACCGCTTGAGATGTGATCTCAAGCAGTGCAAGCTCTCGGTGCTGTGCGTCAGATCACTGACCACGCGCTCCTTTCACATCGAGTCGAGAAGAGTACGCCAGAACCGATTTTTCTACCCTTCAGTCAACCTTCAGTTGTCTCGCTGATCAACACAACAAACGCCCTGCTAGCTCACTTCCGCTCAAGCCGCCCTTTCAGCAGTATTAGTATGAATTTGCATATTGAGTTTGAACATAATGATAACTGTACTAGGATGATGATCCTGAAATTCCTCATGCGTTGAATTATTTTGTTGGACGTTCTGAGCCTGCGGCAATAACATTCACACATTCTGGACTATCATAAGGCTCATTGGCACGCGCTTGGTGTTGATTGAGGTTTATTCAGTGGCTGTGCAGGTTAACGTCCACCGAGCAAAATTTTGGAGCCTCGTCACATACTACGTAACCACTGAGATAGTTGGCATGTCTGCTCTGTGTATTTGAACATTTCCGACGTTGTTTACAGATCCATCTCGTGCAAAGTTACAGCTTTTCTATGGGTTATCTCTCGCAACCAGCGCTCAAAAATCTCAAAAAATATTCCTATAAAGGTGTAGATGAGTGGGTACTTGTTCCAAGTGTTCTTTCGCTGTGATACTGAACTTCGAGAATAAGATCTTTGGTTTCGCACTATCTCCTCACGCCATACTGGAATTGGTTCATCAAGCTCTTTCCATTGAACATCGCCCCAAATACCGTATGTTATCACTACTTTGCACTTGTTATCAGTCAGATTAATTTTGCTCAGATAACCTTGCTTGGCCTATGCATCGTTGTTTTTAATGTTGTCACACTACTATATTATGACCCGCTTTACTTGACCGAGAAGGATGGGGAAACAGGACCTCCTCAATGGATCTACTTTACGTGCGCGCTCTGTTCTTCGCATCAAGCCCGTATCGCGCTGACCCTCGAAACTCAGGTGGGCGATCGGGTTGTTCATGTATCAAAGTTTAGACGCCGTAGATGGGTGGGTGGATACCTTTGCACCAGTCACTATCAATGCTTATCCAAGTGCAGAAAGCAGGCACGGAGAACGGGAATGGCCGGTCCTTTAGGAGAGATGTTTGATCATGGTCTGTGTGCGTTTCCTGATGCGTGTCGACATTTAACTTTATTTTTTCATAGGTTGCGACGCACTCAACACTACAGTACGTTGTCCGCACTTCAGGTTGCATATCTGGCCTCATCCTTTGTGCTTCCCAGCTTGAGGTCGTTCTTGCGTCGCGCGCACTCAATCTTGGCCGTTCGTGGTGGACCGTTGCATCGCAAATAGCCACTCTTGCAAATTTCTACTTGACCACATGGGAAGAATATCATACTGGTGGGTCTAGTGCCATGTACAAGTCGTGTTCATATATTGACTTGCAATTCAGGAATATTGTACCTCGGTCCTTTTTCAGGTCCAGTAGAGGGTATCTTAATGATCGTGATTATCTATGTTATAACGGGAATATTCGGTAAGAGGTTTTTTTTTTTTTTACAAAACACTCGATCTCACTCGCACCACACAGGCCCTACATTCTGGGACAAGAAACTGTTGTCTTTCACCCGTCTAGATAGAATACCTCAAGTTGTTCAGCACGTTCCTAACATTGGTCTCAACGAGTCTTTCATGGTTTTCGGTGCTTTTGGTCTGGCTTTCAATATTGTCTCGAGGTGACTACACCAGTAATCATTTGGTACATATATTAACGCTTCTTCAGTTACCGCAATGTCATCAAAGCCACGAGATCTGATGGGAAGTCGAGTCTCAAACCTCTCGTCTACCTCTTGCCCTTCGTCATTTCCGCGACCCTCCAGATCTTGTGGTTGCTGAGCCCCTCTTACCATGACTCCACCATCATTCACTCACCACTCTTCCTACCGTTTCTTTTCGCATGGGGCTTACAGTTTGCCCACCAAGTAGGAAGGATGATCTTGAGCCATATTACACGTGCGCCGTTTCCCCTGTGGCACAACATGTGGTTATGGAGTGTTGTCGGGATGGTCGATGCCCAACTTCCATTCCTATTTGACAGGTGAGCATCGAATGTCAATGCACTGATGTTGAGGAAGCTCATTCGAGAATAGATCGCCGTTAATACAGTCAACACCAAAGCGAACGGCAGTGTTCATCTACCTGACCCTCGCAGTTTCGCTCATCACGTATGCACGCTTCTGTGCGCTGGTCATTAGAGATATCACGGAGTTTCTTGGTATCGCATGTTTTACTGTGCGCAAGAAGGATGGAGAGGGCGTGTGGAGGGAGACGCGTGATATACAGCAGGATGGATATGTGAAACGGCTTTGACACGAGTAGTTTAGAATTGGAACGTAGAGCACATTTCTCGTCTGCACTGCGGTATGATTGTTCACTCTAGATCTTCTTCTGCCAAATACCATTGCTTGGATATGGCTCTGGGTGTAAAGATAGTGGTGTAGTAGACCGGACACCATGAATTGGAGGAATATTCACCATGTGATGTATAGGTCATCTCTACATACAGACGTACCCCGGAAGTGACTCCAGCTAAACGGAGTTTCCGGGTCTTGCTCGAGTCACGTCTAATGATCAATCATATTTTTATCTTTTCTATGTTCTCTAGTCGTGCTTTTTGTAGATCATATCGATTAACCGCCAACTTTCGCACTCTGATACCAAAATCCATCGGGACACGTACAATGACCACTGAAACATCAGATTCACTCCTTGCTGAAATTGCACAAGCAACAGGTGCATTGAATGATCTCCGACTACAAAATGCCGATGCGTCCAGTATAGACGCTGCCAAGAAGAGACTTGGCGAGTTGAAGAAAACAATGGCTGCGATGAATGTCGCAGGCGGGAGCAAGGACGCTGGAAAGAAGAAGGAGCGGCTCCTCCTCAAAACCGCAAAGGTGTGTTCGAGTGTGCACCGCGATCATACATCTCTGAAGGGTACTCAAGTAGGCTGCATAGGGCACGCGTGATTACGGCGCTGCGGAGATGTTTTGTCGGGAACATGTTGAGCGCATCGTTAAGGATGTGTTTACGTCTTACGGCGGGAGCGCCCTCGACACACCTGTCTTCGAGCGCAAGGACGTGCTTGCTGGAAAGTACGGCGAGGACCAGAAGCTCATTTTTGACTTGATGGACCAGGGGGGCGAACAGCTTGCGCTTCGGTATGATCATACTGTTCCTTTGGCACGGTATCTGGCTATGGCTGGTGCTACGGTCCAAGCGAAGATTTGGCAAGTCGGCAAGGTCTACCGGAGAGACAACCCTGTGATGTCAAAAGGTCGAATGCGCGAGTTCTCACAAGCAGTACGCACTTTTGAACTTATACCCGGGGTATCTTGCATAACTTGTTGCAGGATTTGGATATTACAGGTGTATGGGACCCAATGATCCCAGATGCTGAGATTATCAGTCTACTATGCACTATCTTGACGAGATTGGATGTTGGAGAATTTACAATCAAGGTAAGGTTGTTCAAACAAGGTTTGGATTTACCCTGACGCCTTTCAACTTAGCTAAATCACCGCAAAATTCTTGATGGGATCTTTGAGGTTTGCGGTGTGCCACAGGCCAAAATTCGATCGATATCCTCGGCCGTGGACAAGTTGGACAAGGTTGGTTGATGGAGATACATTATTGCTGTTGTTCTGATTGCGTACAGCTCCCCTGGATAGAAGTGAAGAAAGAAATGACAGAGGAGAAAGGACTTTCTTCAGATGTCGCTGATAAGATCGGAGAGTATGTCAAGCACAAAGGTAGGCCGCCTTGATTTCATGCAGAGTTAAATATTTCATCTCTTTCGTGATACAGGTGGCCCGTCGCTACTCGATATTTTGAAAGCAGATACCACTCTTATGGCAAACCCGAGCGCCAAGCAGGGCATTTCAGACATGGATATTCTCTTTACTCTCCTGCGAGCTTACAAAGTTCTCGACAAAGTAGGCTCGTTTTCCGTGAATCGAAACATGATATTCACGTATGAATAGATCTCATTCGACATGTCTCTCGCCCGCGGTCTAGACTATTACACAGGCATCATCTATGAAGCTATCGTCGAAGCATCAGCACCACCAGCTTTTGCCGCAAACGCAGAGTCCCCAGCCCCAGCCCCTTCGAAAGCGAAGTCTTCGAAAAAAGCCAAAGCTGATGACGGCGAAGAAGATGAGTTGGACGAATCACAGGTTGGCGTCGGGTCCATCGCTGCTGGTGGCCGGTACGATAACCTGGTTGGTATGTTCACTGCCGCCGCTGCTGCTGAAGGGAAGAAGGCACCAGGACTTCCATGTATTGGGGTCAGCATTGGTCTTGACCGGATCTTTGCGATTGTGTGGCCGAAGTGGGTGGAGAAGGGAATGCGGAGCAAGGAGACGATGGTGTATGTGTTGGCTGCTGGTGATGGCTTGTTGGAAGAGCGGATTGCACTCGTACAGGAACTCAGGGAAGCAGGTATAAAGGTTAGTCGCGCTAGCATTCTCCAAGTCATACGTTGACTGGTCTTTTCAGACCGACTTCCTTGCAAAGAAGAAGCCGAAGCTCACTGCGCAGTTCATGGCCGGTGAAAAGGATGAAGTGCCTTTTGCTGTGATTTTGGGCGGTGATGAGCTCAAGGAAGGCTTGGTGACTATCAAGGAGCAAAAGTGGGAATTCGTGGATGGGAAGAAGACGAAGGTCCAGTCGGAAGATCAAGGCCTGAAAGTGCGGCGGGACGAACTTATTAGTTGGATCAAGCAAACACCAACATATCAAGGCTGGTCGAGCGGTCGACTTATCTAGGAGGAATATTTCACCATACCCTGTAATGCGTAGATTAGAAGCTCAGTGGCGCAACGTTGTGTGTCCATGTTTGTCCTGTCAATACTTTGTCACGAGGTTTCAACTTTTCCTGCCGATTTCCAGCTTTCTTTTCTCAACCACCACCCCGACAATTTCGACAAGGACAGCAACAATGGATGACGGTACGTTTTCAGCATCAGCCCCGACGACGACAGCCAGTTCTGCATTCAATAGTTTCTTCTGTTCCGGCACAACCGCCTCGTACATACCAGCACTATTTTTCTCATCGCATTCATCAGTCTCATTCCGTTCTTGAATTCGGAGCAGCTGGGATGTCTTCACCACCAAATATCGGCTGAAGGCCGATAACGACCTATCTAGAAATACTGATGCGCAACTCGAGTAAACCGAGCTCTCTCGACTTCTCATACGTAGTGCGCCCTCAGTAGTTCATTCGCGTGCACTATGACGCGTACGCGCGGCACAGTATAATCGCCCCATTCCTCCTCCACCGTTCTACCCACCGCCATGAATCGACATTGATCTTGTTTTCACCCTTTCCGCCCATTCAGCCTGGCAATCACAAGATATTGCACCCTCTGGGATTAGCATTCCCACGCACGAGGCCAATATGAATGGCGGACCTGCTGGTAGGGAGGAGCAGAACTGGAATGGCAGTGCTCGCTCACCTGGCAGAGATCGTGGGGGTGAACCTCCCAGGCGGTCTAGCCGCAGCAGGAGCCCCGTACGGGAAGATAGAGGGTGGGTGGTGTTTAGAGTTTTGTCATGTCTGAAGCTGACAATATTCGTAGCCGGGGGGGTGACAGCGGTGGTCACAACCCTGGAAACAATCTTCATGTCTCAAACTTAAGTCACCGTGTTGATACGCGTGACCTTGAAGCGGTGTTCGCTAAAATTGGCCGTGTACGTGTCGTCCTGTGGTTTTGTTTCTTACTGCTGATCCAATAGGAATAGGTCAAAAAGGCTTCTGTCATGTACGACCCGCATACCCGCGAGTCTCGTGGGTTCGGATTCGTCACCATGGAGACTTCTGAGGAGGCAGACGCTGCCATCACTGCGCTCAATGCGACTGAAATCATGGGGAAAATTGCCACCGTAGAAAGAGTATATAACCTCATGCTTTGGATTTTGCCAACGTTTGTTGATTTGGCGTTTAGGCCCGCCGCGGACGTGCGCGTACTCCGACGCCTGGAAGGTACTACGGCCCTCCCAAGCGCCATGATAGTAAGTATTTGTGTTGTCAGAGTATTCTTTGGTTCTCACAGCTCTCGAATAGATGAGCGCCCGTACGACCCGCGCCCTTACGACAGCCGCTATTCCCGTGACTATGATGATCGTCGTCGTGGAGGTCGTCCTGATGAGTATCGAGGAGGAGGATGGTGGTGGTGGTGGCGGCGGCGGCGGCAGGGACTACGATCGCGGTGGCTACCGTGACTATGACCGAGGATACAGTGGTGGTGGTGGTGGTGGTGGTGGTGGCCGCGGCAGTCGCGACTACGATCCTCGTGGCCACGACTACGACAGGAGATACTAAATGTGCCCGCTCTCAACACGGATCATCTCGCGTTATGTTTTGCTTTCGTTAATATGTATTCCATAAGTAACTCTGGTGAATAAAGCCTGTTGCACGATGGATCATGAATGCAATGTTTAGAGCTTTCACACTACACATGTATTGACGTTGCTAAACTGCTTTTGCACATTAGACTAGCTAAGTTTAATCTAAGTAATGCAGGACACTACATTGCACCTTGGGTTGAACGAGCACTGCATTTATTTCTGTAAATTTGCAGGTGATCGGCGGTCCTTATATGTAAATTGTTGTTTTTCTAGCTCATTGCTTTCGCAACTAACGTTCCGGAATACCGTGCGCAAATGATCTATACATCGTACAAGCGTTGTCCTCGAATGATATGTGAATCTGCTTATACTGGAATGGGGCTGAAATAGTCTGAGAACTCACAGTCTGGTTTGACTGTCTCCCGGCTGTGACACTGTCCGCCATCGGATTAAAGCCACTTTGAACAAGAGTCGACTCTGGTTAATTATAACACTGGCGACTTCTGACTGGGCGCATTATGCCATCATCCACGACCAGCATAATCGGCCAATCGCTGCGGTTACTGTTCTTCTGTGTTTACTGAGTACTATGGTCAGGTTTTCGTCACTTGAATCTGATACCATCTACTGAAGACTCCCAAGCACATGGTCATAGACATTATTCAGCTCGAAGATGGATTGGTGAAGTATCGTAACACATTCCCAGGCGACCCAGCGGCATTCTTCGCAGACTATACCCAGGAGACATATGTGGTCAAGGCTGCGGCGATTCTCATGCAAACTCTGCTTGCCGACGGGGTAGTGGTAGGATCAAAACATCACCTGCCAACTTGAAACCCTCATAGCTTATAGAAATTCCCTTTCTGACAAAAAGGTTTATCGATGTCACATCGTTTGGCAATCTGTCCGGGTTGTGATTCTACCATGCATGATGTGGTGTGCAGTTGCAGGTTTGGTTGCTATCATACTCAGAAAATGTGTGCTCTGACGTTCATTCGTTTCGAAGTGTGCGGGGGTTTTACGGTCTACGACTTTTCACTGGCTAGTGATGCCAACAGTGTCTTCGCTGACCAGACTAAACATTGGCTCACGGCGTACATTGTCTTTACTTTTGCAACCAATTTGTTCAGTTCAGGTAAGTACATTCCCGCGTAAGTGCGATATCGAGACACTTGCGAACTTGAACATGCACAGGATTGCTGGCGTACCGCATTTGGACCATCGAACGCACAATTCACACCTACTCAAAAATTCCTCTCGACTGTTTCTGGGACAGTTGACACAGACCTAGGAATCCCGCTGCATTATCCTATGCAAACTGCATGCAGGGAGAATGATACATCCTCCTGGCTAAAATAGGGATCCATCCATTCGTCATGATGTTGTGGTAAGTCATTCAACTGCCCTCAAAGAAGGGTGCCCATGCGACAATTTATAGAATGATGTAATGTCTTTACAACTCACGTCAGGAGAGGTATAAGGCCTACTGTGCGCGTGCTTGTGGATGCTGCTGTTTTATACTCTGCGACCACCTTCTCCACGATGATATAGTATTTTGCCCTTTCGAACAATGGCACACATTCTGAGTACTAAGTAGATTCCGTGTTGACGGTATTGATAAAACTACGAAATTGAGAACCTGAGAAAAACTATGTCGTCCTTGTGCCCTATTATGTGTCAAACCTGAGCTTGACCGCCAGGATGGGCTTGTGAGTCCTGGAGTATCGTGCAGTAAAACTATCATACAGGAGTGTTCAAAACATCACAACCATGAGCGTGCACGTAACCCGTGCTGCATAGTTATATGGCTGGTCTGCATCGCGTTCTAGGAAAATCAACACCCCCTTGACATAGTCAGAGGAGAATCCCTCGAACCATAGAAGTGATTTGACAGCGTGGTATTAATGACCAGACTGATGGTCGCACCAACACCAACAGTGAGTGGGCAGAGTATCTCTTACGGATCTGCTCAGCTCTCGACTACACGAGCCCCTGCCATATGCTGCACGATTACGACAGCTGCTATTTCCATGGCTGAGGGTCACACATACGATAGGATAAGTTATAACTTACCAAATGTACCTGACCACCGGTGCATGTTACTTCGCCTCCATGCCTTATGCATATCCTCAGTAATAGCCTGCTGAATTACCGTGACGGAGATGCCTTCCATCCGTGCAGAGCATGGTGATTCATTGCAAAGCCGAACTTCCGATGCCCATCTCTGTGATATATTTGTCCCTGCCGCGTCTTTTCATCTCTTCCACAACTTCTCCGACCTTCTGGAACTCAGTCCAACCCCGATGATTCTTATCGTTGGCCAGATCTATGGGTTCCACAAACCGCACCCTTAGCGCCAGCCACTGCATACATTTGACATTGGCAACGAATTCTTGTATATTTTCCTGTGAACCCTGTGCATAAATGACGCCCGGGTAGCCGACTTTGGCGAAGCCAGATATCGAAAGTTCAGAGGACCATCGCTGTAACGACCGCCGTTTTGTTGGGGACACGAGGTGATGAGACGTCAGGAGGGCGTGGTAGTCTGCTTTCTCTGGGAGACGGTTTGTGCTCTGCTGTTCTATGATATCCATAGTCCTTGCTGTATCAACACTATGTCCGTCTTCATGTAGTTTCGGCAGCAAGTGCATGCATAGCAACTGGTAGATCGGAAAACTCCATATAATTTAGGACTCCTCACATTATAAGACGCCGTGATATGCTCACTCATCTCCTTGCACCTCGGCTGATTTCTCCTGAACAAAGGCCCGCCAGCGGTGATGCTTCATCTCTGGATATGCCCTCCCCGTTGACCGAGATGAAGGGAACCCGAGCGGTGTCGACATCCGAATCCTCCGGGTATCGCTCTGGGAACTGTACCTCGAAGAAGATCCGTGCATCCGCAGCCTTCACTTCGAACTTGACTTGTGGAACTGGGCTGAGCAGAGATGAGAGAGTTGTAGTGCTAGCAGCAGTGTTGAAGGAGTGGAGTAGCGAGGTCCATATTCTAGAATCTTCTGGAGGGAGCGCGAAGGAGAATGATTCACCTGGAAGGAGGGAGTGTTGGATAAGCTGGAGTTCTTGGAGCTGACTGTCGAGGCACATGAATGGCTTGCGGAAGCAGTTAGAGACTTGGAGCCGGCACCGCTTGTCTACTTGACTCACGACCGAGTCGGACTCAAGACGCCAAGAGCGCCTGGTGAGTGCCAGTATTTTTGGTCCGTGTAAACTATGAGTAATCATTTTCATAATATCGGTACACTCAGTGCAATAATTACCGGCACATAAAAAGTCCCGCTCCGTTACTCCACGCAATGGTCTTGTACTATGACTCCCTCGACATACTATGGTCAACGTTTTCAATACTATGGCTAGTCGCCGACGCCGTGCTGACAACGTTACTAACATAGCCTAGGCTAACGGTATATTTGCTAGTGGATCATGACGTCTCCACTTAGAATCCTTCCTTCAACCTCATCTCTCACGAGCCTCACAAGCTGGTCTATACAAAATCACCACCTAGTAATTTTCAACCTCGCCTGGAACAACTTGGTAGATCACAAACCTACGTGCGCTTCCTAAGTACGTATAATCCGCAAATTTGTATATATCCTTCAATTTATAATCCATTGTCAAGGGTATTTTACATTCACATCAGTCCCGTTGAATGAGCACCACGGACACTCCGACATGTCTGGCATTTTCTCCCGATGGCCAGAAAATCGCGAGCGGTACTGCTTGTTCGGGGGTGACCATTACCGACATATCGTCGAAGAGCAAGTATCGGCTAGAAATGCTTGCAGATGCCCATACGCATATAACTGCTGTGGCATGGTCTCCTGACGGACAAAAAATTATAAGCGCATCACCAGACCATACGATACGTTGCTGGTATGCTACTTCAACACACCTTGTAGGACCACCATTTGGAGGACATGATGACTTGATCCTTGCTGTGGGATTTCTTCCTGATTCATCTCACGCAGTAAGCTTGTCAAGGGATGGAGAGTTGCTTGTATGGGACACAGGGAGCGGGGTAATCACTCAACGAGTAACTGTGTCGAATGCTGCTCAAACCATTTTCGTGGCGGCTCTATCTGTCGATAGTACTCTCCTTGTCACTAGTGATACAAAGGGGGGTGTTGCGTGGGAGATACCAAAGTGTGCCCGAATAGCGGAGATCGCGCTTCCAGATATACCATTACTTCAAGCCGCTATTATACCGAATAATCGTCCTCGAGTAGTACTTGCATTTGGCGACAAGTCTTTCTGGACATGGGATGTGAATACAGGGAAGCATGACGATGCGCGCTTCGAAGGCCTTGATGGAGATGACATCCCCTTTGCCATGGCAGCTTCTCCAAATGGCAAGCTTTTGGCGCTGGAAATTGATGGCGATGTCGATCACCCCACACATTTCTATGACATAAAGGGTCACGAATTCATCATCTCCGATATGAAATGTACCCATCCATTTGCATTCTCGCCGGACGGCAAATTTTTTGCAGCTTCGAGCGTGCCCTCGGATTCGAAGGACGGCTCTACTAATCTAATCATACGTTCAGTGGAAGAGGCAAGCAAACTTACACCACGCATTCAATCCTGACTACTAACGAAGTGAACTAGATTGTTGGTTGCAGCTCCCTTGATGTGAGATCTAGGTTCATGGTAGAATATCAAACTCATGGTATGTAACAGTTCCCTGCAACAATCAGCGCGAAGGCCAAAGGAAAACAACGTTCGTTGGGACACAACCCGGCGTTCTTCGATCAACCGCCACATCCTTCTGGCAGTACAAAGGGTCGCCATGTAAGATGTCCCAGACTCGAATTCAAGTATATGCTAAAATTAATTTGTTAGATTCGATTTGGATCTGGACCCTCATCAAGCTCTGCTCACCAGCAGGCCTCCCCGAGGACCACCGGTCGGGAGCGGCGTATCCTGCCTTTTCCAAAGATATGGAAACGGATTCGTCGTCCTCGATCTCCGAAGTCCAATGCAGGGGAAGCTCATCAGACGTCTTCAAGATCTTCCAGCCGGGAACGGCGTATCCCACCTCTTGGCAACGTTTGGACGCGCATTCGTCACCCTCAATCCCACAGGGAAACGTCGACTCCACATGTTGTCGAGGTAGCGACTGCACAAGCTAAAAGAGTACGTTCATCGTATTTGTTCTCAATGACGCATCTCAGGGAATTCCTAGAGGACTATAGTTTCACGTCCACGTAAGACAACGACAGCGCGGTCTTCTAGTAATGCCAGGGCGAATCCCCGTTCGCAGCCTGCGTCGACTGCGGCAGGCTCGGCTCAGGCGTCTGGTGATGTTAGGCATAATTACCAAGCAACTGCAGCGTCACCTTTGCCCCGCGAAGTTACATCTCAGAATGAATCGGCACAGTCTAGGCAAGCCGGTGTACCAGGACATACACAAGACCACGTCGATAGAGGGGACCGGGAGAGCGTTGATTCAGGTATTATCTATACGGAGCGTGATACCGAGAGCGTCGAAGCGCATGGATGCTGGAATATTTTCTGGAATTGGTTGTGTTACAAAGGTGAGTTTCTTCACATCTAGAGTGGACATAGTCAATTCATGCACTGCATTAGCGTTCTGATAGTGCTCATAACCCACTTGACTATGTCCTATGTAGTATGATATGCTCTATGTAAATATGCAAACCTGTTCTCATGTGGATAGTGCCATGCAGGTCGTGTCAATGCTACGAACCTTGTACGGTTTGCTGAGAATTGACATGGCAATTATTGTAATGAAGCCTGCCGATAATTGTAGCGATTAACGAGCCTACGATAGAAAGTTGGGAACAATCCCTACTAGATAGTCCCACGAGTTCGCGCGTCCTAGTCGCATTGGCTCTAGCACACGCAATTCTGCACGGAATCCTTATGTATGTTGTATATAGGTTTCTCCCAACATAATACACATGACCATGTAATTCTTTTGGCAAGAAATGAAGTGGATCTCGTGCCATGGTCGAGTTATAGGTGTTCGAGGCTCATTTTGTGCATAGATGACTCCCTCTGAAGGTCAGATCACCACGGAAAAATCTGGGATGCGATATGATGATTATACATGATTATAGAATGCTAAAATAAATTTCTCCGGGGCTACATGCTTGTCAGAATCATCTGCTGTGAATGAAATACAGCCCAGACGTGACAATCTATCCAAAGCGTTACAATGAGACTACACACATCTAAACTCCGCTGTGCCGAAATACGCTGCAGTTGACTTTCGAACGGTGCGGAATGTGAAACGGCACCGCGGCAGACGTGTGACATGGTGTGACGAAATGCGCGAACTCTAGGGAAACCCGCACTTTTTGCGCGGTAAGTCTCCGCTGGACTCAACACGTCGATTTTAAAAGAAAAAACTAGCAGGCCTTGTACTTTCGATGTCAGGCTATTCATCCGTCAAAAAATCATATTTTTATGTGGATGTGTTGTAGAGTTATAGATGTTTTCCCAAAAATGCGCGAACTCTAGTGGACATCTAGTAGAGTCACTGACCCTAAATATGATTTTTAGCAACAAAACGAGCACCGCTCTTGTTAGTGAGGCCGGTAGACCTTGCCAGTGTAATGTTGGCCTTCTGCTTCTCGCATGTATTACTAAATCATGATGGATTATTAGTCTCCGTAGTCAGACCACTAGAAAAAAGACAGTCGGTCGTTCTTAATACTGCATGGATCAGGCAATTTACCTTCGTGTCTTACGACCTTTCAAGCATTTAGTCATACGTCGAATCTCCCTTCGTAACAGCTTGAGAGAGGACTTTGCTATCTTATTGAGGTGACATTGACGATGGCAGAAAAGTAGACTCACATGTTGCTGTTGATCCGTGAGGGCACGTATCGAAACTTAATTCCTCAGAGACGTGGCTGCACCCTCTAAAATCATCCTGATGTTGAGAGGTGCTTCCGTGTTCCTATGTCACCACCGTCAGTGCCAAGATAATTACTTACTCCCTGGAATGTGACACAATTTCCGTTTACACTTGTACCTGCCAACAGTCGTCTGCATCCTTGACAAAATAGAGGCTACGCGGTCCGTGTCAGAAGATATCAACTCGGAGTCGTATTCACTTATGTGAGTCTCTGGTGCACGGACGCGCCAACTGGCAGACTGAGGAGTCAAAGTTTCATGGTGAGCAAACAAAATTCAGCATTATCCTACTGGGTACAAGAAGACAGCGGGTACTTCCTATTCGTCACAGTGCTACTTGCTATTGGTTGGAGGATCGGACTCGACATTCAATGCCACCTTTCCGAGTTTCAAGAATGCAGGGTGTTGTACCAGATGCTGGTGTGGGTATCATAGTAGGATCGTGGACCGTCGTAGGCTTATCGAGTCATCGTTTGGTCTGGACGTCGTATCTTCAGAGAGGTCGATAAATGTTCCAAAATCTACGCGGAGGGAGAAGAGGATCAGCAGTGGGAGCACAAAAGAAGCTGAACCTCACTTCTGACAAGGCTCCTCTACGATATTGTTGGACGATGCACGACTTGTTGGTCACAGCGAAGGGTATTGAGACAAAGGTGAGCGTTGATTAACGTTCGTTGTCGTCTTTTTTGAGTAGGTTAGGTAAAGCGAACGGCCCCAATATTTGGTGCGTGTCGTACGTAGGTCCAGGGTCCAGAGTGAGTGAATAGGTCGGAGATGTCGGGTATGATTTGATATGACTATACGATCGAGGACGATTCGAAGACCAACTGCGAAGTCTAACGCATACACAGGCCTATTGGATAGAAGACAGTAACTTGTTCTGTTCAAGAAATCTTGATTGCTCGCATAGCCTAGGGTGTAGAAAGTGAGATGTAAAACAAAGAAAGACGGAAAAGTTGACGAAGGACGAACGCGCCTACCGAGAAATGGACGAAACTAAATTGACGGTGCCGCTGCAGCATGCACGGAACTGGAAGAAAGTTCTTTATTTGAATATGGGAATCGTTGGTTCAGAATGGTTGGAGGTGGTCAAACGCAGTTTGGCTTACATAAGTGAGCAGGTCTCCAATGGAAATGAGCGCTATCAATACCAGGAGGGCAGAGTACCACAGCACATCGGTGTGTTGCATTGCTGAAATACT